ATATATATATATATTTACTACATCGCTCGCAGCGCCCGTGGGCAAGATGAAGCGAATCCTGTGTTCTGATAGGCTACCCGCCGAGCAGGTAAGATGGGCCCATCTTTCCCGCTCGGGATTGCCTGCATTGATCCCGCGGATGAAAAAAATAGAATTCGAATTTTGAAATTTTTGGACAATTTCAGCGATGAAAACGCAGTAAGTGGCGATAAGATATAGTAAAAACAAAGAAAACGGAAATGACTCTCGTGAGTTTGTTGTGTTACACAATTGGCTTTCTTCCAGGCCCTCGAAGTAAACAAGTCATTTGCTATATGATAAATCCTTTATTAGCCAAGCTTGTTCGGTGAAGATGGCCTGGTTCTTTTTTCGCATTTTTATGGACCTCCACTTCGTATCGGTCCATGAAAATGCAAAAAAGAACTCGACCAATATCCAGCCATCTTGACCTCACGCTTGGTTAATAACGCATATATATAGACATAAACTATATTTGTATTTATCTACACCCGTGTTCAAAAACGTTTGAACAAATTGGGAAATATATATAAATTTTGAAAATATATATCAAATACATATCTTTTCTTTTCTCATCAAAAAGAGAAACTTTTTGACGAGAAAAGAAAGGATATATACATGATTTTTAATATATACTCCTGTATTTTCAAATTGCAACGTTTTTGAAAACGGGTGTATAAATCATGGTTGACATGTTCACCTAAAATCTGCTCAAAACGTTTTGCTCTGTTTGGTTGGAAAATTATATCACCATCATTATCATAACTATCACTACCTTCACTACTGCCATTATCATTATTGAGATCGCTCTCATGTTCACTTCTTGATCCGTTGCTGACATATATCGCAGATATTCACAGTCATTTACTCATCACTTCACAGGTTTATTACGAACCAACAAAATTAGCTTGTTAGCTCATTTGGTAAAGCACGGCATCGGTATCGAAGAGGTCATGGGTTCATTTATTTTTTAGGCCTTATTTTTTATCACTGCTTAAGTAGTTTTCATTACTTGGACAAGAAGATCGCTCTTACATTCATTTCTTAATTCGTAGGTCATGTATGTTATGTAAACACGATCAATTCATTCGCGGCTCCGACGAAGGGCTAACGCTCGAAACGTCAGCTTTTATAACCGTAACGGTGGCCAATTTAGCATTTCAACCTTGTTGATAGATTCAAATTAATTCAGAAGATAGTATGTTATGTAAACACGATCAATTCAGAAGATAGGTCACAGTCATTTTCATAGTTGTTATGTTATTGGAATTAAATAACGTCTACAAAAGCCTTTCCGCACGATTGTAATTAAAAATAGTACGACCTTTTTCCATTTTTTATCGCTTACATGGGTATGCTAGCTAAAAAATGAAAATAGAAAAACAAGATTTTCATTATGTAATTGCAGATAAGTGAAATGGAGGAGAAGATTTCAAGCTCGGACAGGGGTAATATCTCAGATAACGTCCAGGTACATAACAGACATCAGTTGATAGGAGAAAATAGGCCATTTTTCAGAGCATGGAGATTTCTCGCGCTTACACAATCATTTATTTACATAGAAAGATGACAGAATGGTGTTGTTTCTTAGGTTTACTCTTAAGTTCACTCATTTTCCTCTTACTATTTTCCGCCCATAGAAACAGGATGAGGCAAAGCTCGACATTGAGATTGTAAAATCAATGAATGCTACCCTCAATGAAAAGCTGAAAGACGTTCAGCAATACATGTCCAGTTTACAGCAAATGGTAAGTTGAGTGACGTGAAAATAATGGGACATGCAAAACAAGTGTGTGTGTATTGTATGCCCATAGAGATAACAAACATTGTAAAATTTTCCTTTGCTTCAGGTAATAAAAGTAAGCAAAGATCCAGGACCAAAAGGACCACGTGGATTCAATGGCACAAACGGTCTTCCAGGGCGACCTGGATTCAGCAATTGGACACTTTGTTCTTACAAGCACCTAGCCAGCGTTGGTCAAAACCCATCATCCTATGCAAATCAAGTCGTGCAAAAATCTGAACCAAAGGTAAGTCACACCATGTATATTTGCATATTTTAATTGATATATATAATTAACCACCCTGGGCTCGGATAAATGTGCCCTTTGTGGAGAGGTCAAATCAGAAAATTGGAAAGTTATTTGTGCAGAAGATAGATACATGACAAAATGAAAGTACCGTATTTCCTCGAATAAGCGCCTACGCTACAATAAGCACCTACTCTCGAATAAGTGCCCTCCCCCAAATAACCGCTCACCCCCTCAGCCAAAATATCAAATAAGGGCTGCCCTTCCCCCCCCCCCGAATCTAACTTTCTCAAATTAGAAGGGATACAAAAAATACCTGTTTCTGTCGCCAATTTATTTCTAACTTTTTAACCTTCAACCACAGCGGAGTTAGTACAGGAAAATGGTTTCCTTTCCGTTAACTCACTTTCACTTATTTTTATCTGCATGTGCTAGCAAAGTTTCCTTATGTGCGTTATCGATTTTTTTTTTCAATTGCTTGTCGTATTGCTGCACTCTTGGTAAATGCCGTTAACTTCCCAGGCTCAGTTAGACCGTTTCTGCGATCATAAAGTTACTTGGATGAATTTAAAGAAAACATATGAATAAGAATGATAACAATCATTATCAATCGAAATGTGGCCAGCAACCTTGAAACTGTATGAGCCATGCACATGCTTCACTTTGTAAGTTCCAATTGCATTGTCGTCATACAATGACTTCTTGGCTTATTCCCTGTCATATTTCAAGAAAATAAGTCTTTACCCTTTACTTAAACAAACGAAAAATATTAACTTTACGTATACGTGGATAATGTTGTCATTCCTGTTTTTCTATTACAGATTTAGCTAAAATACAGTTACAGGTCGTTGAAAGGAATACTTGATATATATATATATTTACTACATCCTTCACAACACCCGTGGGCAAGATGAAGCGAATCCTGTGTTCTGATAGGCTACCCGCCGAGCAGGTAAGATGGGCCCATCTTTCCCGCTCGGGATTGCCTGCATTGATCCCGCGGATGAAAAAAATAGAATTCGAATTTTGAAATTTTTGGACAATTTCAGCGATGAAAACGCAGTAAGTGGCGATAAGATATAGTAAAAACAAAGAAAACGGAAATGACTCTCGTGAGTTTGTTGTGTTACACAATTGGCTTTCTTCCAGGCCCTCGAAGTAAACAAGTCATTTGCTATATGATAAATCCTTTATTAGCCAAGCTTGTTCGGTGAAGATGGCCTGGTTCTTTTTTCGCATTTTTATGGACCTCCACTTCGTATCGGTCCATGAAAATGCAAAAAAGAACTCGACCAATATCCAGCCATCTTGACCTCACGCTTGGTTAATAACGCATATATATAGACATAAACTATATTTGTATTTATCTACACCCGTGTTCAAAAACGTTTGAACAAATTGGGAAATATATATAAATTTTGAAAATATATATCAAATACATATCTTTTCTTTTCTCATCAAAAAGAGAAACTTTTTGACGAGAAAAGAAAGGATATATACATGATTTTTAATATATACTCCTGTATTTTCAAATTGCAACGTTTTTGAAAACGGGTGTATAAATCATGGTTGACATGTTCACCTAAAATCTGCTCAAAACGTTTTGCTCTGTTTGGTTGGAAAATTATATCACCATCATTATCATAACTATCACTACCTTCACTACTGCCATTATCATTATTGAGATCGCTCTCATGTTCACTTCTTGATCCGTTGCTGACATATATCGCAGATATTCACAGTCATTTACTCATCACTTCACAGGTTTATTACGAACCAACAAAATTAGCTTGTTAGCTCATTTGGTAAAGCACGGCATCGGTATCGAAGAGGTCATGGGTTCATTTATTTTTTAGGCCTTATTTTTTATCACTGCTTAAGTAGTTTTCATTACTTGGACAAGAAGATCGCTCTTACATTCATTTCTTAATTCGTAGGTCATGTATGTTATGTAAACGCGATCAATTCATTCGCGGCTCCGACGAAGGGCTAACGCTCGAAACGTCAGCTTTTATAACCGTAACGGTGGCCAATTTAGCATTTCAACCTTGTTGATAGATTCAAATTAATTCAGAAGATAGTATGTTATGTAAACACGATCAATTCAGAAGATAGGTCACAGTCATTTTCATAGTTGTTATGTTATTGGAATTAAATAACGTCTACAAAAGCCTTTCCGCACGATTGTAATTAAAAATAGTACGACCTTTTTCCATTTTTTATCGCTTACATGGGTATGCTAGCTAAAAAATGAAAATAGAAAAACAAGATTTTCATTATGTAATTGCAGATAAGTGAAATGGAGGAGAAGATTTCAAGCTCGGACAGGGGTAATATCTCAGATAACGTCCAGGTACATAACAGACATCA